ATATATATATACATATATATATATATACACTGTAGAGCCTTGAGTAAAAGTTGGCTTGTTGCTGACAACGTCAGAGACCGTCCGATCCTTTTCGGTATCGCCCATGGGTCGTGTCCTCAGCATCCGCCTGGGGTGAGGAAACCTCTTCGCCAACCCGCCACAGAGCCGCAGTCACACACGTGCACACACACACACGCACCCCACGCGTGACACACACCTCTGCTACACTTCCCTTCTCCTCACCTCCCCCCAAAAAAACTAGAACGGGAACCAAAACAACAGAACAAAACCAGAACAAAAAAACCAAAGAAAACGACGACGAAAAGAAAACAAAATCACAGCTGGACCCTGTTCTACACGAGGTGTTAGAAAACAGGAGCCATGACAACACATTCATTTCCACTAAGGGTGTGTGAAGCAGATACTGCCCCCTCCGTAGCTCTCGATAAACCTAGTCACTGACAAACACTTGTGGAAAAACATATGCACCAGTCTCCTGCATAATACCAGCTGCAACTATAACAACAAGGTTATAACATAAACCTAAAATAAGATGATAACATGTAAATACTGGGTTATTTAGTCTACAGTACAGTAATCTGGATAAAAATGACAAGGGATAGCCTAATTTCCTTTCCCCAAACAACTTTTACTTTCCTACGTTGGATCGACCTTCAATGCAAATCTTAACCTCCTGAGGAATAAAAGAAGGCTTGGGAAGAGTCAAAGGTGGCTCCTCTTCTGATTTCTCTAGTTTTCGTGTTTCGGGGGCTGACCACCTCCTCTTCCTTGTTGCCGGGGGCTTGCTGGGTTCTGTTTTGGTGAGCAAAGGTGCTGCAGGCAATCCTATTTTGTCCGGAAACTTCAGTTCACCGTTCTCAGCTAACATCTGTGCGCTTCCCTGATTAATCCCGTTTTCCTGCTCCGCATACCTGTGTCTACTTCCAGCCAGGCTGTCATTCTTTGAATGCTTCAGCAAGATACTAGCTGAGTCCATGGGCTGGCCCTTTTTAATAGAGCCGTTCTTCAGGTTCTTGAGCGTGAGCGATATGCAGACGTCCCCCACCGAGAGTTTGGAGCACGGCAAATCAAAGAGCTGGCTGGTTCTCTCAGGGCAGCAGGACGACCAGCCTTGTCCAAATACAAAAAAAGGGTATTCTACCAAGACCTCCACGCTGACCTGCAGAAAGAGAGGGGACAACAGGGAGAGACAGAGGGAGAGAGAGGGGAGAGCGTGAGATCACCCATGGGCTCTCGCTGCGGGGGAGAGGGATGAAGCTGAAACGGCAAGAGTACAGTTCCATTTCCATGAAATCAGGACATCAGCCACCAGACTTCCCGCCTGTCCCTGTCACACGGGTGTTAGTGGTTTCTCTGAGCTCAACAGGAACCAAGCTTTACCTTTATCCAGCCGCTCAGAGACACATGAGAGGCAAAACAGCTTCGGCATCTGGCAAACTCTCTTCCCCACCACCCCCTTGTGGTACCTGGAGCCCGTCATCCACATCTAAAGACGCTTTCCAACCAGAGGGTGGCTCAACGGAAGCTCTCAGTTCTGACACACAATTTCCTAAATGACCATGGGAACACCATCCTCCCCTCTGCCCAAAAAAAGCGTATACTTACCAGCGTGAAACAGCTGAAGGCACGCTGATCTCCAGGGACCATGAGTACGTATGGATTTGTAGCCATAAGAACAGCAGGTGTCGACCTGCCTTCCCCCACCAGTCCTGTTACTAGCCCCGCTCCTTCCCTTCTCACACCCACTCTCCCACTCTGCACCTAAGTTCACCTCCTGCACTCCCCCAGGGAGAGGATCAGCTCTCCTCCTCCCCCTCCTTTTCTTCACTCTGTCCCTCCTTTATTTGTCATATTAAGTGTGAACCTTGGGATGAAGTTGCATGGCCTGTCTCACAGACGAGGTTGGACTCGACAACACGGTACCCAGCAGCCCTGCTGCTTCCCTGCTAGTCCTGCTTACCCTCAGAGGAGGCCTCCCTGCAAGCAGGGCCTTGAAGTAGTTCCCCTCACACTCCACCAGCTCCATAGCCCTTTTGGGCAGGAGGACTTGATCAGAGATGTCCCACAGCTCAGAGACTCAGAGGCTCCAGAGCCAGGAAACCAAAGACTCCCATCAGATGCTGACTGTGCCTACAACTGGTTAAGCCCATGCCATGCACTGGCAGTCAACTACAGTTTATAAGACAGCTGACTCTGTTGGAAAAAAACTTACGAAGTCTATAAATACACACTATGCACTTCTGCAACTAGGCCAATGAATAACACTGCATGTGTCATCCTGCCACTCCACCTGCCCAACATCGTAAAGTACTGTACAAAGAATTTCAAAAGGAGTAGTTTAGAGGCACCAGATACCCCCCACTACATCAATTTCTGACATATTAAACCATTTCCAACCAGTATTGTCTGCCAACAGGCAACTACACACATGGCAACAGAGGAAAGAGACCTGACTCTAGGCCTAGTTTATGCTCTGAACCATGGATAAAATGGGGTGAGGTAACCACAGAAGTCCCAACCCTTCCATGTTGTTGGAGAGAAACCCTCCAGCACCAGGACTTGCAGAAACACTTGCCCAGAGTTTGGGATCCTATTCCATACACATGCATCTCAGTAAGGGGTCTGACTGGGAGAAGTGGTGCCTACCCGGTATCTCCCATGGACTTAAATGGAAAGTGCTGTCTGCATAGAGTTATAGGCTTCTCTCCAGGCAATGGAACATCAGGTGGACACAGCTTTTTCTTTTATGCAGCTATGCCTCTCCTCTTTCTTTCTTCCTTCCTGCCTACTGTATTTTTTCCTTCTTTATCTACTTTCCATCCTTGTCAAAAGCTATTTGTACCTGTGGGAATCACACATGCTTGTGTGCATCATCCTCACCAACACACAAGTTCCTCTTGATATGAACATGCTTCTGCCATAAGTTACACCTTTTTTTTTTAAATGTGGCACCCAAAACACTTGCCTGAACTGTCAATCACTGGAACAAAGCCCAGAATTAGTGGTGGTGATCATGAATAACACCAAATCATAAAGATGGTGAAAGGCCAGAATTCCTATATTCCGGTCACGGTGTGCACATACCTCTATTGATTTGAAATGGGTTCCCTCACGGATTATCAAGCCCTGATTTTAGCTGGCTGCTTCTGGATTCAGCTAACTTGGGATTGAAGGTAACCACTCTCTACAAGCAATAGTAGCCAAAGACCTTTCAAGTGTGAAAGTTCAGTAATAAGACCCCTGCATAATTTTTTTTTCTGACCATTGCATAAAATTTTTTTCAAAAACTCCCTCCCCCAATATCTTGCCATGATTATTGTAGGAGAGAAACAAATTTGGAACTTCTTTGCCAACTACTAAGACAATAAAGCAGGAAAACAAAATCTTGGTACCTCTTCAAGCACACCATGGCTCTGCTGCAAGCTACATTTATATTTCTAATTTTCAAGAATGACAAGATGTTTAGTGAAAACATCTAAAACTCCTCAGTGCAGCTAGCGATAGAACAAGAGGAAATGGCCTCAAGTTGTGCCAGGGGAAGTTTAGATTGGATATTAGGAAAAATTTCTTTACTGAAACAGTGGTCAGGCACTGGAACAGGCTGCCCAGGGAGGTGGTGGAGTCACCATCCCTGGAGGTGTTCAAGAAGCATGTGGATGTGGCACTTCAGGACATGGTTTAGTGGCGTGGTGGTGCTGGGTTGACGGCTAGACTTGATGATCTTAGAGGTCTCTTCCAACCTTAATGATTCTGTGACTCCGTGATTTTCCAATTAAGTGTTTTTCTTCCTGATACTATTAAAAATCCAATGAAACTAGGAGAGGCAGGCTGGACACAAAGAGAAGGAGGCAGTTCTGGAAACAAAGTGCAATTAAATGGTGGAGCTCTCCACTGAAGGCCTTGCTGCGGATGCCGAGAGACTCCTCTGGTCCAAAAAACATCTGGGCAGATTTGGGGAATAGAAGTTCTCCCTCTCGCAAAGAGAAACCTCTGCAGTGCCGGGTTCCCACAGGACCTCCCCTACTCAGAGACTTGGGGACGCCTAGTGTTCCCACCACCCCCAACAACAGCTGCCTTCACCAGAGCGGATCTCCTCTGAGAGATTTACGGGGCTGCAGGTAGCACCTTGTGCCACGGGGACTGTCCGGCACCACACATGGTGCAGGTGGGCATCCCCCCAAGGCTGCACCTAGCCTAGCTTCAGTACACTGTCGCTGTAACAAACACACCCAGGGCCTGAAGGCTTGGGAAGACTGCTCTCCACAGCCATGTGGTCCCACCATGTCTCAAGAGAAGCCACCTCTGTCCACCAGGTCATAGCTGTTGCACTCCCAAAATTCAGTAATAGGCATCCGAAGACAGACCGCAGCCAACTCATCACTCGGAGGAACAAGGACGCACCGCCCCGTGACCAGGGGACATGGACATGGAGATCCCAAGAGGGGAAGGCTGGGAGAGATCTCCATCTGCAGCAACGAACCGTGTCACCATGTTTCTTCCTGTGTCTGTCACAGTGCCAAAAGCAATGAAAAGGAGAGTGCGGAGTAAAAGAAAAAGTAACTGGTTTGTGTGATTGCAGAGATATAAGGGGAAGACTAAACTTCATGATGGTCTAAAAAAATACGCACTAAACTAAACTAGTTAGGGCTACTAACTGGAAGCTCTAACAGGACTTTTCTATCTCTAGTGTCTATGGTTCTGTTTTTCCAAGAAAAAGGAAAATTAAGAACTATACGTTAAATCTTTTCTTTTTACGCTGTACTTTAGGAATGATTAGGAACTGAAATGCAGGGATCAAAGCAAGCAGTTCAGAGAACTTATCTTGCATGTCCTGTGTGCTTTGACCTTAACAAAAATGGAGATGAATTACTGGCTTCCACTTGTTCCTGGCAGCAAAAGAAAGGCCAGGTAATAACAATGAAAGTGTTAGTACAAGAATAATATGTGGAATTGCAAAGAGATGCCGATCCGTAGGTTTTTTCTTCTAGGTAACTTGAATGAAGAGGAATAACAGACAGATCTGGGTTCTGATCCAGTTGACACTTACTTGACTTCTTCCTAATCCAGAGCAGGGATGCTGTGAAATGGAAACCTAGCATCCCTCCAGGGCTAAGGGCAGTTATTGCACTGAAAAGGCATGCAGCTTCAGGTGGGTTGATTTTCCTCTAGGTTTCCATAGCTGGAAAAGGGTGGGATTTGCCAGGTGATTGGAAGACAGGGAAACGAAGGAGGACGACCTCTTGCTGCCTGAAGTGCTGTGCCGGGGAGGGGCAGCAGTGGGCTTGTAGTGATCCGATACAAAGCAGCTGCATGGTGCCTCCCTATTTACACCACAGTTGTATACGCTCAGCTAAAAATAACCTCCTACCTCTGCCCCTCCATTGGTGGGAAAATCAGCTAATGTTTGCACAGTCTGAAAATACAGATTCATCAATGACTTCCCAGAGATCCCTCGGAGGAGTACGTAAGTGAGCCAAAGCTAATGATAACACCGCTATTTTTGTATGGCACTTACTTACACCCCCTCGACAATTCCATTCCCAGAAACTCCCTCCTTCCAGAAGTATGGGTCCAACCAAAACTTAATTGTAATAAAATACTTTGCAAAGCTACACTACACACGCAGGCTCCGCACTACCTGCTGTACTCCAGAGCCAAGATACTTTTAAGTGTAAATGCTCAAAGCAGCGCGACAAAACACTGCTCTTTCAACAAGGAGGCTCAGCCCTCTACACACAGGCAGTTTTCTAACGAGAAATGACTGCTGCATGCCTGCTAATAAGGCTAGATGCTTTCACAGAGCCACGTCGGTTGAGGGTGAGGTCACCGGAGCCTCCAAAACTCACAGAGACGATGTCTCTCTCTCTATCTCAACCCAGGCAAGGGAAAACTGGCAGAGCCGTCCCCGCTATGCAGGGACACAGCTGATCTGGGAAGAGACCCAAGTCCCGGAATCTGCAGGAAACCTAAATTAAACCCCCGTTTCTAATCATATCTCTACGTGACTCGTCCTCCATTCTGGAAGCATCCCCGCTGGGAAACACAGCTGGGGAGTATTTCGGCTGCTGCGATGATGTCAGCCTGCTCCCCATAGGCTTCTCCGTAAGGTGACACTTTGCTGAGTGAGACCTGTGTGCCCGGCCCTGGATTTTTACAGCCTCAGACTCTTTTTTTGCTTGCTTTCTGCCAGAGGATGGCACTCCACCCCCTGCAAAGGCGCCCTTCCCTGCGCCCAGCACTACAACACGTCGCCCGCGTTGACAGATCTGGGAACGAGACACGACACCAACGCTACCTGCTAATTTGTACCTCTTCTGCTGCTGCAGAGACCCGTGGCCTGGCTGCAGAGGGAGAAATGAAAGCAAGATGAAAATTGCAGATGGGAGATTGCTACTTTCAGAATCTCATTATTCAAGGCACCAGGGAAAATTATAGTAACAGGTCCTGATCCGAGGACAGTTCCTCTAATCCCAAAGCCTGAGCTGCACCAAAACACAGTTGAGCTGTGGGGAAAAAGAAATCAGGTCTTTGTACTGAAAGCACCGGAGGCCCAACTTCTCTCAGCTGCACAGATCCAAACACATACATGACCAAAACCACACAGGGAATCTGCACATCTGACATGAGAAAGGGGACAGACAGGTCATATGCCGTGATTTACCATACATGTGCGACTAGGGAAGGATGGGCCACTGACTGCTGTGACTGCAAGAAATTTTTCATGTAGCCTGCTCCTGGTACTGTTGCTGTTTCTTTTTCTTCTCCAAACTGACAGCCTGAGGTGCTTTACTACCTGTGTCCTTGTCCAGCTCCTCCCTCCTTCCCTCTTATTCTGGTTCTCCAGTGCTGAGGGTGCAGCATCAGGGCTGCAGATGCTTCAGTTTGCAGCACTCAAACCAACCCAAAAAGATTTGCAACAGATTATTTAAAACGCATACCTCTAGGAAGCAAAATGCTACCCAGGGTATCGGAACTGCTCCAGCCTCAATGCAGCAGAATCTAAATTGCTCATAAAATTGCACAGCATCAGGGTAACACTTTATGATCAATAGCTACTCATTCTCAACCTAAAAATACCTTTGGAAAGCTACAGGTTTTCTTCCTATATTGTGAACCAACAAGAAACAAAGGTCAGAAGCTCAACCTGCCCAGCCACCTACATGGTTTTTCTTTCCGAACTTCCCTTGAACACACAGTTTGTGAGCCATGCAGTGTTTAAACCACCTGCAAATGAAGTCTCTCTAAAAAGTAAAACTCTGTAGTGCACTTCAGTAACTTACGTGTGTGATGGAGCCATCCCTAGGCAGCTCCAGGTTTTCAAGCTCTGGAAATTCACTGCCTTGTGCCCTACCTATCTCTCTAGGGTAGGATTTGAGCTGAATCTATGGGCTTTCTGGTGTGGAAGGTAAAAATCATCTATCGAAATGCAAAACATATCCTCTCATACTGCTTACACTGTTTTATATTTTAATCAAAAACCATAGACATCACGTAATCCTTCCAGTGGGTTCTCCAGTTACAAGACAGACCCGTTTTATATCCAAGAGACTACATTTATCTTTGGTGTGACCCTGATGGCCCCCCCAGCACAGTGATGGGGCAGATATTGGGACCAGAGTTGGTCTCATGGATAGATGTGAACAATTAAGAACCAAATCCATGTGGAACCAAGGTAACTGAGATGCACTGAGGAAAGCTGCACCCGGGGGACCACAGCATGTGCCCCTCTCCCCCGCACCCCACCATGCGTTGCCATTACCTGTGCTCGATGCTCCCCAACTGCAAACTGTATCACGGCAATGCCTGGGCTATGGCTGTCTTCAATCCTCTCCACAGTGCTGGAGTCTATTTTCAGGTCGTTGCTAATTTCCGCGCTCTGAATGAAGTCTTCTGTTTTCAAGTCCTCTACCTTCTTCAGCTCCCCGTTGGCCAGCTGAATGATCGACCCCTTCATGAAGTAGGGGGGCAGCGTGGGAGGCGCGGCGGCGGGGGACGCGATGGACTGCACCACGGGCAGGTGGATCTGCGCCTGCACCATGGTGGCCTGGTAGGCAGGCTGGGTGGTGAGGGGCTCCGCGCTGAAGTTCTCGCTCTTGGGGACGGCGGTGGTGACGAACGTGTGAGGCACTGCTGCAAACTGAGGAGACGACGTGACGATGGCAGGCGCCACTCCCGACGGCTCGACGTCCGCGCCGCCGACCGGGATCCGCAGGGACTGGGTGCCAGGGGTCACG